TTTTTTTTTTGGGTGGGACCGGAGGAACCCCTCAAAAGTTTGGGTTCCTTAACCCGTTTGTGAAACCCCAAAAGGGCCCCCGCCGCGGGGCCTTTTCCATTCCCATAAAAAACAGCCGGGGGGGGTGTTGTGGCCGGACAACCACGAGCTTCGTCGCGGACAGAAGGGGGGGAGACGTACGGTGTTTGCTGAGGCGTACTTCTTCTCGGTAGAAACGCCGCCCTGGCGGAACGCAGCGTTCATAGCGGCGGATCCCTTGACGACCTTCTCGCGGGGCGCACCGCCGCCGCGAGTCCTGCTGCCAATCTTGGTCTCGGTGCTCCAGTCATCCATGATGGCGGTTTGAAAATATTTCAAGATTGCGTGTTCGTGAGGTACAAGAGAGCGAAAGTCTTTCTGGTCGTCGAGATCAAAAATTGGGTGTCGTGGGTAGGGACGTTGGGTGATATCGTGAAGGTTTGTCGGAGGTTGCAATTGGGGTCTGGTGAGGCTCGCTGGGTATAAATATCGTGGAAGGCAATGGACGGCGGTGGATAAAGCCCGCCGCCAACTCTGTCTTGCGCTGTGGTTTGACCAGCTAGGCCAGGCATGCTGAGTCAATCGGCCAGTGAGAGTGAGGGGCGAGTGGCGCGGCACCCTCGAATGAGGTCCTGCTTGCGCCACAGACCCATCAGCTTCTCTGCTTAGCCACGGTTGACGACTTATGTAAGCTATGATCCGACCTGGGTCACTCCTTCTTGAGGCCTGGGCTGGGGCATGTTTGTGGCCAAGAATGTCCAGGATGAGTTGTTAAACCAATTTAGAAACGTCATGTTGCCTATTTTGTCGGTTTATTGTTTCTATGTGCAGTGTCTGTAGCCGCAACTGCCTCTATCCTTCCCAGTTCGCGTGAACCATGCAACGAACATGGGCAAAGTCATGACGTCTTGATCAGGCCTCGGACCCGCTGGTGTCACTATCCGTCTCACTTATCCTTCTGTCACTCCTGCCAACCACCATGACCGCATCCTTACACTAGCGCACCCGAAAATCCCATCTGATACCAGGCCTAAAAATGCTGGCCGGCATTGCCTATGAGGCCCTGCTGGGAGGGTGGCTAGACGTGGCCCTCATATTCGTCTTTACAGCTTGGCGGGAGGCGGCATTGATCCGCTACGCCATCATCGCTGTAGGGTCCTCACTATTGAACAACCATGTCACCGGGTTGGCAGTTGTCTGGCCATACATCAGACCCTTGGCTATCGTCTTCTTTGCTTTCCTGGTTCTGGGGAGCTGGTTACACAGGACCCCTGCCAAGCAAACGACGTGGGCGGGATTGGGGATGCCCCTCCTCATCCCAGCCAAGACGACACATCGGAGAACCTTCCCCGCCAAGCATGGCTTCTCATACTCCTATCTTGTTGTCGGCGTTCCAGTCGGTTGGACCGGGTCCGCCGGCGGTATGGTCTCTTCAGGGACTGAATTGGACTCTTCCGGTGGCGGCAACGCCATTTCGTGGCTGAGAGCGAAGACCCGTGGGACACGTGCTTGGTTCCACGTCAACGAACGCAGACCACCTTGGGAGAGAGCCTGGGACCCTTGAGACCAAGTTGC